GTCTCAGTCCTCGTTCTATATTTACAAAAGCTGTCATCCAACCGTTGGTTTTAACTGAGCTGAAAACAGAATTGTACAGAAGTTTGATCCACTTGATGAATTGTGGTCCGAAGCCGAATTTTTCTAGTGTGCGGAATAAGAATCTGTGGTCTACTCGGTCAAATGCTTTTAATTGATCGACTGTTATAGTTTTGTTTGGTTTCATTGGCATAAAGAATTGCATCTCGTATTAAGCTGGCGTTGTCGTTAATCGTGCGACCTGAAATACAGGCTGTTTGATCTGTGTGGATAATTTTAGGAAGTACCTTTGACAGTCTGTGCGCTAGAGCTTTGGTTAGTAGCTTATAATCGGTTGTTAATAAGGTGATTGGCCGCCAGTTTTTTAGTCGTGTCCGATCATTTTTCTTAAAAATCAGTGTAATGACACCGCGGCGTTGCGTGATGGTTAAGATACCGTGATCAAATGCGTGGTTGTAAATTCCAGCTAATGTGGTTCCTAGGATATTCCAAAAGTGTTTATAGAAATCTGCCGTGAGGCCGTCTAAACCAGGTGATTTGTTTGGTTGCATGCCGTCGAGCGCATTTTTTAGTTCAGCGACTGTTATATCTCCTTCGCATGATTCTCTTTCCTCGTCTGTGAGTGTTGGGGTTTCTACATCAAGGAGTTGTTTTTGTGCTTGCTCGTCTATTTGCTCTGCTGTGTATAGCGATTTGTAGAAAGCGTGTACTTCCTTAAGTATATCCTGTTGTTCTGTAATCGTTTCATTATTGTCTTTGGTCAGGATTTTAATTGTTTGCTCCGCTTGTCGCCGTTTTTCTAGCGAATAAAAATAGCGTGTGCTTTTTTCGCCCTTTTCCGTATATTCCGCCTTTGTTCTGATTTTTACACCTTCAAGCTCGCGCAGATCTAATTGTTTCAGCTCGTTTCTGGCCGCAAGATATTGTGTGACGTCTTCGTCCTTTCCTGTCATGGTCGCTGTTTGTTGGAGTCTTTTGACCCTCTGTTCTAAGATGTTACGTTCTTGTCGTTCTCTTTTTCGCTCTAATGTGCTGTGTTTTATGGCTATTTCTTTAAATTTTTGTTTCGCTTTGTCCCACCATGCTAGAGGGTTTGGGTAGTTGTCAATTTGCGTGTTCCATTCGGTCCAGAATTCTTTGATTTCCTCATTAAATTGTGCGTTTGACAGTAAGGTGTTGTTGAAGTGCCAATATCCGTTGCCTCTAGTGAGTTTTTCTAGGTCTAGCGTAATTAACGTCGCATCGTGATCTGAGTGTTGGAATGGTTTAATCTCTGTGTGTGTTACGTTTCGGTCTAACGTTTTGCTGATAAGTATTCTGTCAATTCGTGTTCTGTTTGTGCGGTTTTTAACGCGGTCATGAAGGCCCGCCCAGGTGTATTCGCGTTTGGTAGGGTTTCTTTGACGCCATATGTCAGTTAGGTTGAGTTTTGTCATAAGGTTTTGTAGTACTATCCTAGCAGTTTGCCTCGCAATAGGTGGTGCGTCTGGTAGTCTGTCATATGCCGAAAGAGCTAAGTAATACCGGCCAGTTCGTGTCCGCTTTTGTATTTTAGTCGTACGATTGGCCCCTTTATTTCTCCATACGAGGATAAAACTTTTACTATGTCTTCGTCTGCGATATATGCACGAAGGCCGAGAAGGGAGACATTTGTGTAGTAGCCTTTCGGCGGATTGCATGACACGTGAGATGACTCCAACTCGAAGCCGTGCTCGATCAGAATTTCAGCGTGATCCTTTCCGTTTAACTCAGCCAGATATTCGCCAGGGCGAAGTTCTTGTAGGACAACAATGCATCCTTGACATGTTTCTTCTTCAATCGCTCTTTTTATGCTCCCCAATGAAGCGTTTTCGATAGTTTTGAATACAATGCTGCGGCGTTTCCTGTCGTCTGCCATTGGCATACCGCGTGGTAAAATTTGCCAGGCAAAATTTGATAAAGTTATTGGGGATAACCCCACTTAAACCAGATCAGTACCTTCCGAATGTTCTTATAAAAGATATTTTTGAGTCTATTTGCTATACCAGTCGATAAAATCGCCCAAAACCAGAGAAGTTAGCACTCGCGTAAAACGAGAACCGGAATTTTACTGGTGGTATGGTCGTAGACACTTAAATACGTCAATTAGGTGATATAAAGGCACTGCAGTCACTGATCATTTCAATGAACGTTTTGGGATAAAGTAATGCTATTAGGTTTTTTTGTTTTGATTTTTTATATGTTTTTTCCAGTTTAAAGATTTTACTCACCGATTTGGTCATTGCTGGGGTATATAGCTATTTGGACTGTGCGAAGTGCGAACTATTTGCAAAATTAACATAGAATATATATGTATTTATACTCTTCCTTATGTTACAAATTAATTAACTAATTCGAATATATCTAAAAGATTTGTTGCCTTTACTTTAGTGTGGTCAAACAAAAAAAGTCTACAAAAAAAGTCTACAACACGAAGTATTCCCGGGCGGTCACCCATCCAAGTACTAACTTCGCCCGACCAGGCTTAACTTCGGTGATCAGACGAGAACCGGTTTCTTACTGGTGGTATGGTCGTAGACACAAGAATATGTCAATTAGGCTATATAACGGCACTGCAGTCACTGATCATTTCAATAAACATTTTGGGATAAAGTAATGCTATTTCATCCTAACCAATAGGTTTTTTTGGTTTTGTTTTTTTAAGCCATAAAACGCTTCACGAGTACCACAGTAGTCAGTAAACCGTGTTAAGAGCAGATTAAAGATTTTACTTATCGACTTGGTAATTGCTGAGTCCCTTGAGTCCCAAACTGCGAAGGACCATATTCTTCTCAGTAAGTTAGTTATATCATGCGGCCGAAGTAAAGCTAATTGTTACGGTGTGATTTTTTTGTATTTTTAATGAAATGAAATCAATGTGTATACTTATTACTTGGCATAAGAGACCATTATCTTCGCCATTAGACTAGGAGATTTCGGACGAACTGCTATGGTTATTTAATATACTTTATCCTTTTAGTCGAAGTTCAACATGAACTTAGGTTAATCTTGGACACGAACCACCAACTTTCCACTTGGGAGATCATTGTCTTCTTCACCAGGCACTAGACTACGAGATCTTAAGCTGAACGGACAACAGTTAAAGTTTTTCATTTACTTTATTCTTTTCTCGAAGGACATAATGAAAAACAGCTATGCTTGGATTCAAACTTTTCATTTCAACACTGGGAGACCATCATCAAGTACTTGTGCAGAAAAGCTACAGCTGTTTCTTTTATTTTAACTTGATAGGGTCTTAAATTAAATAACAATTTCAACGAGAGGGACACATTACTATAAGAGAATAGAACCTTCGGCTTTACACCGAGAGAGCATTGCCATTGCCTTCACAATTAGATCTGCAGAACGTTTGACGAAACGCCCTATTATCTTTTACCTTATTCTTTTCATCGAAGGATTTTATATATTAAATTATAATTTCAACGAGTATGATTTATTTTCTCCTCTAAAACGTATACAACTGTATCTTATTCGTAGTTTGTATAACTAATATCAACCATTTGTTTTGACGCGATATTTTATCATAAATAGTCCGTAGCACGGAATTTGTAGGGCGCTTAGATTTTGACATGAAGTCCTCAAAGATTGGACTAAGAATTGATTACAGACACTTATACATATGTATTAGTGCAATCAGAAAATACAATGTTTTCGGTGTTATTGTCTCTCTATTAATTAGTATTAATTAGGAATTAATTAACGTTATCTGAGCTTCTCTGTTCAAGAAAATAGACCCTTTTCCCCAAATTATTAGCTTATGCGTGTGTTTCAATCAAAACAATGAGAACAGTTTACATACGAATTACACTTTGGCACACCAACATGGCCGCCATGAGTCCATGCCGCTTATAAGCTATTTGTCATATGACCACCAAAAGATGCACATTTTAACGGTATATTTCAAAATTACAAACTCACGGACGTGGCGATAAATTATGCAATTGCATGCAATCATAATGTGATTTTTAGTTTTATAAAAAGAAACGCAAGCGTCAAAGCCAATCGGCAAAACCTTTTATTAAAAGAAATTCAAGCGTCAAAGTCGGAATCACTGTCATCACCATTTAGAATGTCGTCGACAACATCTGTCACAAGGTCCGAAGGGACTTCTTCACCATTCTCGCACCCAGTGCATTTACAAAGAGGCCCACATCGCATGTTTCGAGAAAAACACGAACACAATCGGGTAGAGCATTTTGTCTTGCGACATGAGCAGTAAATTTGCTCAAGTAGCTCTGGGGGAGCTACGGCAACGGTCATCCACTGAACTGTTAGTTGGGATTCACCGTCAGAGGCACTCCAGCCATGGCCAATAGGACTTGGAGCATTTATCACCGCTTCCAATGATCTCCGTAGTATGGCAGCCTGGTAATTTGCCCTCTTTGTATGCTGGGTGACTTCATCCATGATCGGGGGTAGCCTGGAGTCCAAACAGAATTTTTCCATGAAAATTCTAAGTCGAACTTCTAGCAACGAAGGTAGAACACTCTGACGGTTGTACAGCTGGCAGAGAAACTGCTCTAGAACATCCATTTGAAGATTTGAAATAGACCATTCCTGTCCAAGCTTGGTAAAAGCGGAGATGTATGACGGGTTGCTGATCATAAGTTCATATGGGGTAACTTTTCCCTTTCCTTTCCAGCAGCTGACGCTGTCACAACCAGTGAATGGATGTAATCCCAGCAGAGCTTCTGCCACCCCATCTTTTAAAGTGCTGACTACCGATTCGATATCCACTGTTCTCAACTTTGCTGCTGGACCGCGTTGAATAAACAGTTTACCAGGAAAAAGTTTATAGAGACCTATGCAAATGATAAGTACATCTGTGTCATCTGACTGGATCGTAACTTCTTTGTGTTGTTGAAAGGCGTGCAAAGCATGCAATCCCATCCTCGTGTCAGCTTCTTCGTGATCGGAAAACAAGGCATCTACGGATTCAACCGTCAAGACCGTTGCTGACGCCTTAAACTTGTGACACTGACAGGCATGGGCGAAGTACAACTCAACCCCTTGAAAAAACTTGGATCGACTGTCTTCCAATGTTCAAAGAAAAATTCGATTAAGCTTTCCTTGTTTTTCCCCACCGAGAGGAATTTCTTGAATTGCTTTGGGGTCTTCTTTGAACCATGGTCAACATTTAAACGGATAACAGAAGCATCCTTTCCCTTTCGCCTCTCTCTCTCAGCACCCTTAATACTTGAATCTGGATATTGGTCAGTAACAAAATCGACCCTGGTGCAACGATGTCGAGTAGCTGTAGCTATCACACTCTTCAGTACTTCCGCGGATAATGCATCGAATGTGTTGGGAATGTTCTTCAGACGTTGAATTAGAGCCATGGCATCAATTATCCACGCAGTAGAACGATTCGAATTGCTTACGTCTTCAACATTGCTCTCTAGGTGACGACCAATAGCAGACTTGTCAGTCTTGGCTAACGTTCCGTCATAGTTGGCAAGCGACAATGGTACTGGACACAAAGGATAAGAAAGCACGTACTTGAAGTCCAAGTTATTAAACTTCGCGACTATCAGAACTCGAGCAAGATCCCTCGCTGTGGTTTGTAACACCGCCTTTTCCGATTTTGCCTTAACCGTCTTACTCGTTAATGAGAACGTTTTTAGTTTGAGTGCTTTGATTGTGTTAAAAACATCCAGCTCCTTTTTCTTCAGACGTAGATCTATGTACTCAGCGCATTGTTCCTCTCCAGCAGTTTTGGCTCGTGCAATATCGTGTTTGACCTCCGGTGATGCAATTGCGCCAGAAACAATGTTGACCAACTCGTCATCCTCGATGGAAACTGGGTTTGTCATTGCTTCTATGGTATTGATCACACTCTTTACAGCTTTCTCATCCTTTAGCCTCCGTGTGATATCCATTTCCTTTCTCTGACGTGTACAATTACCGCGACCAGCCATACTCTCACATACAGATTGAATCTCTGCTCTATCAGAAAAACTTTTAATCCATCGGTGGACAGCAGATTTGTTAATTGAGAATCCAATAACACCGCCTTTAGTTTTGGAATTCTTATTTAGTGTCTGCTCGAGAGTTTGATCCATTGGAGTCTGACTGAATGGCTGAGACGTGCGTTGGGTTGCAAAATTTCCAGCAACCATTTGCTCATGAATATCTGGATTACTGGTTGGCAGGTTTAGCATTTCTAACCAGTATATTGGTAGGTAACGAGAATAGTGAACGCGGTCGTACGCAAATATCCAGGGTAACATGCGTCGAACCGAGCTGAGATGCAAGGACCAATCACCCACTCTGGAGATACAAATAGAAACAGAATTATATTTTGCAGCGTATAGTTTTGCAATCGGTTCGAACTACATGACTTGTATAATTAAAAAGGACTATTAATCAATAAAATGCATGAAAGAAAGCATGATTACTATTTAGTCCACTAACCTAGTTGCCCTTACGAATTCCAGTAGTATATCTACCATTTCAAGGAAACTTAACCAATAACCAAAGGTTGGATTTGACCCCCCTCTTTCACTGGTAAATTCATGTAACTTTCTCACGAAATTTTGGACATCATCACTCTTTACAAATTCAGTAAATGTTCCATTACTAAAAGCTGCCTTCATATCGTGTACTACATGTTCCAAACAATTTCTCTCATCAACGGACATGGAATCTAAAAAGGCAGTGATAACGAGACGGTATATTGCCTCATAGATGATTTTCATTGATCTGATACTACGGTTGTAGTGTTTTCCTGACAATACACCGTTGACAGATCCTTTTGCGATGATATTGCTTTCAATGAGAATATCGCGTAAACCACCGTCTTGAAATCGTTTGCCAATCACTCCGAGAAAGCTCATAATGACATGGAATTCACCAAGGCGTAGTACTATTCGACTCTGAAACATGCCTTTGGTCCAACGGATCCACTGTGCTTTAGCATAAACAGCTTCATCCATGACAACAACCATGGAATTTTGGTTCAGTTTGTCTGCTATGTCTATGCTTTGGGAGAGGACAGCGTTGACGACGCCAAGATCCGTGGGACTGCCATCAATAATTGGAAGATAGCCAATACGACTTTTCTCAGGAACCTGCGTTGTGAGCTGTGTAAAAAATCCACTCCATGACGGTAAAGGTGTTTCTTCCTCTTCATCACAGCGAAAATTTGCTAGAACGTAGCAAATGTTATCAAAACCAACAGGTCTACTCTCATCTATGTCAGTAACTTCAAATCTTGTAGACAGACTCAGCTTTTTCTTTAAGACGAATGGCTCTATTTCTGTACTTGACACCTCTACTCGTTTCCCTCTTGACTTGGAAATTCCGTGACGATTTTCATCATCTAGTACAGAAGCTTCGGACATCCGTTGAATAACTATACCAGTGGTGCAATGTGTTGTTCCTTTTCCACTCAGTGTTTCTTCGTTTATGTCATTGTTGTCAAATACACATGTCGTAAATGACCCACTAAAACCACGTGGTATAACACTGCTTTGCTGTGCACGGTATCTGGCAAGATCTGAGTCGTAATCAATGACTGCCTTTGGGGATATACAATGCCCCAGTCCTGATACAATGTCAATTAACTTTGAACTGCCCGTAAGATGTCGAATTGTAAGGCCAAGAATAAGATGCTTCGGTACGATTCTTCTTCCTTTGGACTTAAGGTAGATAATGTCCTGACAGATGGACAAAATCTTTTGACGTTCGGTGTCGTTGTCAAGCTCTACCAATTTTTTTTCACTAGCAGAAACTGGTTCACAGCATACACCAGTTATCCAAGCCAAGAAATTGAACAGTTCAATTGGCACAATTTTTTGTGCAGCATCTTCTGTGAGATCGGAAGCTAACGGGGGGTTTGGAACATTTAATCGTGGAGACATCTCAATAGCTTTCTTCACAATTTGGGACGAGAGGAATAATTGTCGCTGGTCGTTGGGTTCTAAATTTCCCATAGCACGTACTTCATCTTCGTCACTAGATTCCTCTGTCGATTCAGGGGCAACAAACATAGTATTTTGTTCACAACTGCAAACCAGCTCACAGTTTGCAATTTCTTTGACTTTGATATAAACCAAAGATGGGAATGATTTCTTCAACTTCCGCTTCAAGTTCCAATTTGACAAATAAGATGCATCTGTGTCTGGCTGCAAATATCTGCTGTAAATTTCTGCCAATTTCGAGATCTTTATTATTTCACCACCACCAATAATACGTTCTTGAATGATTTCACTACAGAATTTCAAATAAGCATCTCCAGTTGATATTTTGGATTCTACTGGAATATATGTGAACGTTCGAAAGCAGGAATGGTGATACTGGGCTTCCTTTGCTATTAAATCTTCCCCTTCAACAATAAGCAGCACATTCTCATCCTGTTTCTTCTGAGCAGCAACTTTGACAGCATTTTCTGCACTTGGGGACTTGGTCAATGGTTCTGGCTTATAAGCCCCTAAGACAAAAGTAACTATTGAACAGATGACAGAAGCAATGCTCAGTGGATATGACAGAAACAATGGCATAACTATAGGACGCATATTTAACATTCTCTCAGAAAATTTAGGAATCACGCTAGCTGATCATGCCCATATGACCATGCCTATATGTTGACAAATGGGCATTAGACAAACATGTACAATGGACATATAGTGCAGCAATAAAATGTTCTAATTAGGAAAAAATTATAATGTACATCAGTGAAAAAAAGTTTATTCAAATAGACAATAAAAGTTTTTTATTTGTTTTTTTTTAATAGACAATAAAAGTACAGCAAATAACAATTGCTTTTCAGACTTTATAATAATACCTATAATACCTGTTCTACTATCTTTTTTGTATTTTTCCTTTTGGCAGATAATGCATTTTTTTCCAAATAATGGCACTGTTCCTTTAACAATCTGGCTTGTGGTATCTTGACTTAGTCTTGTCTTCTTTCTGAAATACCAGAGCCTTTTTTAAGAATTTAAAGTGGGGCATGAAGGGGCTGCAAGGAAAGGAAACCCAGCATCAGGTGGTGAACATGGGAAGCCTTAACTGACACTGGGATTTCCAGAATTGAACCCCAGAATTGAACCTTGTTGCTGTGGTTTCCTACATATAATTCCCATCTTTAATTAATTCCCATCTAAATACATTGAATGAAGATTTGTAGTTGTATGTCCCACATGAGTTGTAATTGTATGTAATTTAGTCATAAAATTATAGAGACCAACTTGGCAATAGTTTTGCTATGCAGAAAAATGAGAAAATATTAAATTCGCAAACAATTTAATTACCGTGTATGGATCAATTGCTTAATTATTATTTTAGTATATACAGAAAAAGCATTGCATTATATAATATTCAGCTGGTAACAATTGAGAAATACCTGGGAATACTTTCATTACTTTCATCGACAAACTGACTACTTCTCTTCTTTGAGGATTTTAGATTTTTCTTATTTGTGAAAAGCTGGTAGCACTTCCTGTGGTAACCACACGATGCAGGAAATACTTGTTCACCCCCCAAAATTTCATTAAGCAGCTTAGATGCAATATCACCATATGATCGTCCATATTCGTCTTGTGTTTTCATCCATTCTTGGGCATAATATAGAATAGTTTCGCCGGATTTCGTACTTACTTGAACAACTTTGTCGTTTGCATCACTACCTTTGTCCGAATGTACACAGCACTCCATATTTTTTTAAATAAAAGCACATTGCAAAAAGCATATTGTATTATTGTTCGCCATGTTGTCATTGTTTTCATTGTTGTGTCCAGTGGTTGTGTCCGCCGAATTACCGGAATTATTTTGCGAGATTATTTTTTTGCGGGAATTAAATGTCGAGAGCGAGTGAAAAACGTTTGTAGAATATTTGTCTTTTTTTGGTGTTTAGCGATGCGTTGCGATAGAAAACATTGTGGATTACGAAAAATAACTATTTAAACGTGATATATTAAAACAGTTTTCATAATCCGAACGAGTGAGGACTTCAATAAGCGCGTACGGATTCCGTGCTACGGACTAAAAGGTATGCAGTTCTTTAAGCAAAGAAGCTTTACCTTACCATAAGTTAGTAATATGGGGCAAGGTGAAGTTAATGGTTGCGGTGCGATGGTCTTGTATTTTCAATGAAGTCAAGTCTAATTTCACAAGTCTAATATATATTTATACTAATTATTATTTTAACAAAATAATTTCCCACTACACAGGCAAATTTTGAAACATTCTAATAAAATTACCGAATTTACCTGAATAAATACTTCAAAAAATATGATCTATATGAGCCAAGGACGTTTGAAAGTTTTTTGGACATAAAATATTGTCATTTTTGCTCAAAATAGTAAAGTGGTTCCCTTTACTCTGGGCACAATTACTCTCCACAAGTTTTCGATATCTTGCAAGGAAATACGCTTTCGATATATCACATCCCAATGCACGACTTTTACAAGGTAACCAGAAATACATGCATGCAGCAACCCCTAGCAAATGTTTCCATCATTCAATACAAAATTTAAGTTAGTGTAAACATTGCCCATTTTATTTTGCTGCATTATACCATGCCAGCAATTAGGTAATGGTTTAAAATCGAAGTTTCAAATTATCAAAACAGTACAAAATCTTCAAAGACAAAGAAAAAACTTCAAATGTTATTTTATTCTGTAATTGCAGTCGACGCCGGCGGCTAAAAGTTTTATACTTTAAAATATAGTGTGTATTTTTGATACCAAATTCAAATTACACTTTCAAAAACACTTTTTGAAGTTAAAGCAAAGGTGTAATAGCCTAGCTTTCACAGGTTTATGCGTTTGCATAAAAAGCTGAAAATTAAACAAATAAACGGCATACAAAGATGAAAACTATACAAATACGGTTCATCCTTTCCGCGAAACAAATACGAAACAAACAAAGTAAACACGTACCATTTGAAAACACTCAAGCTTGCAGATTATGAATTATTTCTCTTACACGGCTTTGTCTTGACTGTATCCATGTTCATCTTTGCTATCTGTCGTGCTTCATATATCTTGTTTCTTTTCGTTTTACTTTGCACAAAGTTAATGAACACTTTTACAAAAAGGTTTACCAAATGACAGTTAAATTGCTGACGTTCTCATTGAATAAAAACTTTCTGTTTTAGCCAATCAGAACGTTTGTTGATTACCAGTTTTTACTCGCGCATGGGCATAACTTACAAAACTATCCAACGCCGACTGTCCATGACATAGAATTTGGACAACTTTGGATTCGGCTTTGTTCTCTCGGGTTCCGGGTGTAATTCCTAATCTCCGAGCGGAATTAGTACCCTCGCAGGTGCTCCGCGCCCGCTCGGGGAAAATCATTTAACACGATTCTTATGGGCCCGAGATGGAGTAGAGGCAAGAGTAGAGGCGGCCCATATGCCGAACCCCTTTCAGCAAGTCACCACATACTATGCTCTTCACTCGTGTTCATACACGTAACAGTCAGTCTGAGTAATTGACGAAGTAAATTTCTAGTGGCATTGGTGCTATTTCTAGGTTGAAACCGTTTGTTTTCAGAAATAATCTTATATCTGTTAACAACGCAAACGCACTAGTGCAAAAATATTTTGACTATTTTTGTGAGGTGTGGGATCCAATCGGTATTAATTTATCTAATAAACAGCAGAGAAACTTCAAAACAGAGCTGCAAGAATAGTTATTTTTATGGTCAACAAAACTGGCGTGGGTGATTTATCCGGCTGACAAATACTTCGGCAGACCTCGAGCGAGAACGAGCGAGTGTTTGTTTACGCCAAATAAGACTGAGACGCTCACTGTGTCGGAAGGTAAAATAATAATCCCGCCATTTTACCTACGAAATTTCCGCGTGGAAGCCTGGATCATATGTTACCCTGGGTATTCATCCATCGAAATCCACGATTAGTCACAGAATTTATGTATTTATGTTAATATAAAAAAACCAAAACCTTTTCCTAAAGATACACTATATCAACACGTTGTTTTTCGAAAACCGGCTTCAATGGCCTTATGGGCCGTATTCGGCACAGGGTGCCCTAATTGTACTTATTCGGGTTACACTCTCCCCTACTTTAAAAGTTCATCGCATCCGATGTTATGTCAACATGTCCGACTGTCCGGGTACTAAATACTACTTCTATATTTCCACAGTAAATAGGTTGATCAGGCCTACTCACACTCACAACTTTACACTCACACTCACACACGCACTCAACTTAAACAATGTTACTTGGCGCTAAATTGCGTCCTAACACGTGTAACAAGCTAAATTTCTACTATTGTAGCTTTACTAGCTTAGTTCAAAATGTCATGTTCGTGGAATTAGTTACCACATTCCAAACTGTCCAGTAGGGTACGGTTGAAACATTTTCCAAGGGTACTGCACTATCGATAACCCGCTGTACGGTGGTGGTAACCATCCCGAGTGTAGTGGGAGGTAGGGAGGAACTTGCCAAGGTTGTATGTCCGTAGGTGGTGGTACCCATCGGGGGGGAAAAGGGGGGTAAGGAGGAATTTGCCAAGGCTCTATGTTCATAAGAGGAGGAGGAGGGAGTAGCCATCCGGGATTTGGCGGGGGGTAGGGAGGAAATTGTGTAGGTTGCATATTTGAATTAATCGCTTGGCAGAATAGGGCTGGGTTTCCGGGTTGATTATAACCAAATCGTACCGGCGCCTGTCGTATTCGTTGTGGTCGTTCTCTTGGATCGACGGTGTTCTCATCATTCCGCAGTTGGTCTCCATTCTCAGTCCCTTCGTTCTGTGGTGGAGCATTTCCGTTCCCGGCTTCGTTGTTGTGGGGTCCTCCTTGTTCTCTTTCACCCTCGTCAATAGCGACTATCATATCTGGATCTTCATCTGGGGTTTCTTCATCATTCACTTCATTTGGCACTATAACGGGTTCCTGCTGTTCTGGTTGGGCCGCTCTGTATTCTTCGACGACTATTTCTGGGTAGTCTTCGTCCGTGTCCGATTCCCGTGGTTCATTCGTTGTTTCGTCTCTAACATTGGGCTTCTTACGTCGTTTCTTCCGGTTTTGGCTATTTCTCGCGTTCTCCGTGTTGGTCGATGGTTGTTCCAGTAAATGGCACGGCAGAAGCAGGTTTCTATGAAGTACGCGTACTCTTCCTTCTGTTCCTTCCGGCTTTACTTTATACACTGGACTATTTTCGCCCTTACGTTCAACGACAATGTGGATCTTGTCCTCCCAGTAAGCTCTTAACTTACCCGGTCCCCCACGTTCGCTCAAGTTACGAATCAACACGCGGTCTCCTGGTTTCAGCGAGGAGCTGTGTACTTTCTTCCGATCTCTCTCCCCTCTCTTTCGAAATTGGCTCCCCATTCTTCTCTTAGCAAGCTCGTACGCCTCTTTCATTGCTGTTGCCCACTGCTCCACATATTTCGGGTAGCTTGCTCGCTTCGGTTGGTGACACAGTCCGAATATTTGGTCTATTGTGAGTCTTGGTGCTCTACCAAACAACAAGAAGAATGGCGAGAATCCTGTTGCGTCGTTTCTCGTACAGTTATACGCATGCACCACTTTATTGAGATTATCAGCCCAGCTGGACTTTCTTTCTTCTGGTAGGGTTCTAAGCATAGCGAGCAAGGTCTGGTTAAATCGTTCAGCCTGCCCATTTCCCTCGGGGTGGTATGGTGTTGTCTTAGAATGCTGTACTCCGCAAAGTTCCTCGAGGTGTTTGAACAGATTATTTTCAAATTCACCGCCCTGATCGTGGTGGATACGTGCAGGAAACCCAAATCGAAGAACGAAATCGTTGTATATTTTCGTCGCAGCTGTTTTAGCGGATTTATTACGGGTTGCGTACGCCTGAGCGAATCGAGTGAAATGGTCCACAATGACTAAAATATATTCATATCCGCCTTTGCTTTTCTCTAAATGCACGAAGTCGATCGATATTAGTTCGAATGGTGCTGTGGATGTGAGATGCTGCAAGGGTGCCTTAGGGAATACTTTTGGACGTCTCTGTTTTAAACAGGTACATTTGTTCGTGATAAAATGTTGTATGTCCCGTTGCATGTAGGGCCAGTAGAACCTCGTTTTCGCCAGTTGAAACGTTCTCTCCCACCCCAAATGGCCCATCTCCTCATGAAGTTCATGATACACCATACGATGAAATTGTTTGGGTAGTACCAACTGTAGGTATTCACCCGCACGACGTCGCAATATCCCATCTTCGCCAAGTTCCAGTTTTTTCCATTCATTCATTAAACGTCGTGTTGTTTTGCTTTCGTCCCATCTGTCTCTCATTTGCGGTTTGTCAGAGCTGCTCTCGAGGTACTGGATCACTTGTTTCAGGTCATGGTCATTCCGTTGTGCTTCGAGTAGAGCTGCTGGCGAAATTGTCTGTTTATCGGCACATTTCGTTTCCTCTTGGTTTGCAATGTCTCTGTTGGCGGTCACAGCGTCAATCCAAATCGCTTTTCCAGCTGCTTGTGCTGCCACTCCTTTAACAATGGCTTCGATAGTCTCCTGACTTGTCTCTGCTGTACATTGGCTAACGTACTCTTCGAAATTTACGGGCATTCGTGATAGCGTATCAGCGACTTGATTTTTCGGACCGGGGAGGTATTTTATGGTGAAATTGAAGTCGGCGAGTTCTGCTACCCAACGGTATCCTGTAGCGTTCAACTTTGCTGACGAAGTAACATAAGTTAGTGGGTTATTGTACGTGTATACAACAAATGATGGCGCGTAATAAAGGTAATCGCGGAAATGCTCACTGATAGCCCACTTCAAAGCTAAGAACTCAAGCTTTCCGGAATGCAAATAGTAGTTCTTTTTAGCCGTCGTCAGTGCCCGTGAACCATACCCGATAACTCGCATTTGGCCGTCTTGGTATTGGTAGAGCGCTGTCCCAAGGCCTTTGTCCGAAGCATCAGTATATAATGCATATGGTAGGTTTACATCAGGATATGCCAAAATAGGTGGACTGGAAAGAAGGTCGATAAGACTGTTTAACGCGTTTTGGTGTGTTTGTAACCACGTTACTGG